TTTGAATGAATGAAAGTTGGTAACTTAACCCATTTGGCTAATTCATATTTTATCCATAGTTTGCATCTATTTTTATGGGTTGAATATTGATATCAACACATAATTTTGCTCATATAAAAATAATTTTACCCAAATCGATCAAGTTACTAAAATATGGGATTATTTTTACCGATACTACTAATAATATGTATGTAATATGTATTTTTACTTTATTTTTAACTATAGTTAAATCTATATTCTTAGTTGGATGTAAATTGTAAACACTTTATAGGAATAATATTCTTTAGTTCTATGTAAACACTTTTTTTTATAGGTCAAACACATATGCAGACCCTTAAACTTGTTCCTAAATTTCATTGTGACATTTTAATTCAACCTTGTTTCATTTTAACCATTCAACTCCAATTGTTATGTTCCATTTTGGCACTTCTAAGTGTGTGGCAGAGAGTGTGGATTACACATTCTCTAAGAGAGTGAAAGACAAAAAAAAAGTATTTTTCAAAAAAATAATAAAAAATTACCCTTCAACTCTATTTCGTTTATGTACCATTTAACACAAAATACTAATTTTATGATTTCTTTATTTCTATATATGTTATTCAACTGCAATTTTGCATTTTAAAAATCGACGATCATCCGTTAATTATTGTAAAAAATTAAAACTGACGGATTATCATTATTTTTTTTAATAAAAAAAGTAACAATTTCTTTTTAAGAGTTTCCCTATATTTTTGCGTGAAAAATAACCGACGAAAGTGCGTCGATTTCTTTCTTAAAAAAATCAATGACAACCCAACGAAATCTATTGAGTTTCAACATTTTTTGGTAGTGTTATTAATTAGCAATGAACATGAGTTTTTTTTCACTCGTATTTAATTAGTTGAATGAAAAATTAGAAAGCTGATATTTGAGTTAGTCCAAGTAGACTAGATATGAAAAAATATATATGTGATGTTATTAAAATTAACTAATTGTTTTTAAAAAAAACAACACACTTTCAGATTATTTTTTCACACAATAAAGTACAGAAACTCTAAAAAAAAAAATATTTTTAAAAAATAATGTTCATCCATTATTTTTTAACACAATAATGACATGTGAAATACACACATCTCACTTTGTTGGTTCTTTGGAAAGAAGTGTCAAAATGAAACAGAAAAATTGGAGTTGAAAGATTAAAATGGAACAAGATTGAGTTGGAGTGCCAAAATAAAATTTAGGGACAAGTTTAAGAGTCTGCATATGTGTTTGACATTTTTTATATGAATAAATATTGGTCAAAGTCATCTGCAGCCACTCAAAGTTATCTACATATTTCACTTGAACACCTTAACTGAAACTTGTACTTATTGAACACCTATAAAATATTGAATTGATACCACTTGAACATTTTTTGCCTACCTGGCACTTTGAGTGTGATTCACCACTGATGAGCGCGTGAAAACATATAATCAGACATTTTTTAAATTAAAAAAATCTATTTCTTCTTCCTTGAATTGGTTACCACCACTTTCTCCGGCCGTTGCCATCGTCGCCGTCATCATACACCTTTCTTCTTCTTTCATTTTTTTTCTAGCCACTTCAATTCCTTAACCATCGATCAGATTTGCCATTATCGCTGCCAGGTCATTCGTTTCTTTCTCCTCATTTAAGCAATCACCATCATCTCTGTCATTAACGTCGCCGCCTAACCCTTTTTTTCTTCAGATCTAGAATCGGTTGGTCGTGACTTGGTCGCGTTTTTTTTCTTTTAATCTAGGACTGAATCTTTGTCGAGTTATAGAAGTAAGCAAAGTTACAACTTTGCAATTTAAACAACACCACCATTGTACAATTAATATTCCGATCTGTGAAATATTATTTCACTCTCAAAATTTATTTATTTTTTAATTATTTTTTAATCAAAATCTTTTATAGTTGATTTACAATGTTACTATTAAAGTTTTTTTTTTTTGTTTACTTTTGAATCTCAATATTCTGCCATTGTACATACAAAAGAAGAAGAAAAAGAAATGGCGGGTGGATTGGTTCTGATGGGCAAAAAGGGAAGAGTATTTGGTGGGTGCGTGGGTGGGTTGTATAGGGATTACATAATAAATATTTTTTAATTTTAAAATATCTTTTTTTCCTTCCCATTGTTTTTTAATAATATTTTTGACCAAAATGACATGTCATAATTTAATTTGTTATTATGTCATGTCATTGTGAGTGTATCTCACTCACTTAATATTTGGGGTTGATTAATAAATAAATGTCAAATAGGTATCAATCTGAAATCGTAGAGGCGTTTAATAGGTACAAGTCTCTGTTAAGATGTTCAAATGAAATATGCAAACAATTTTGAGTGGCTGCAGATGACTTTCGCCTTAAATATTTGTCTTACATCCATACATCAATTGGAGTGTAAGTTGATTGGAAACGTCTCTGCAAAATTAAAATTGATGACTGCACATCATTTGGGAGCTGACAAGAAACAACTCCTCTGAGATTCTGTCGGCAAATACTTTGCCCATAAAGATATCAGTAAGATTGGATAAGAGATTCCAATTCAATGACTTACTTGGTAGAGTAGTTGAAATAGTAACCTCTTATTCCATGTTTGCTTTTATTTTATGAATTTATGTTATATTATGTTTTTACTATTATTAGCTTTTTAGTTAGATTTGATAAATTATTTTTTTATCAAATGTTTTAATAATTTTATGATATTTTATTTATAATATTAACATTTTTGTCAAAATCACATTTCATAATGTTTATACAAATCTTCTACTTTTAATTTTTTTCATTGATTTAATTAAAATATATTTACTTAGAAAATATATCAATTAAACTTTTATAATATTAAATAAGAACTATTACTTACGTTATGACTAACAAATAAATCAACAAAAGAGACCCTTAATTAGAAACGAGCTAGTGTAGAGGTAATTCCTAGTTACGGACAATGATAGTTGGTATCTATCAAAATCTTTTCAATATTTTTATATAAATGACTCACATATACACTTTTTTCAAATGAAAATGAAAAAAATAATTTTAATTTAATCTTTTAATTATATATTTTTTTAAAACAATATAATTCATAAGGGGTATATTTGATCCTCCTCACGCATATTTTTTTTTGACTTTTTCGTTTTAAAGACTAATTTAAATTTATTATTGATGGTCAAATTTATTTATATTTCACAATTTTCTTGTAAATTTTATTATAGATACCTCATTTTTTAATTATTTCTTTTTACAAATATAAAAACTAAATTACAATATTGCCGCATAAAATTTAGTTTTAAATTTTTTCTTTACACTAAAGAATGAAAACATGATAATAAGAAACTCGAATAATGATAATCAAAGAAGTCAAAAAATATTTTTTTTGTAAAAGATTAAAATATACCTTGAACTTTAATTTGTTAGAAAGATCATATATATACCCCTACATGATTTTTTCTAAAATTTAAAGTCAAAGATAAATTGAAAACTATTTTTTTCACTTATGTTAGATGAAGGGTATATGTGAGTTTCTTTTGTAACAATAAGGATATATGGGAGACATTTGCGAAACGGTAAGAATATATATGAGTTAATTTAATAACGATGGTATATTAGCTCTAAATAACAAAATTAAGGGCTATATCGGACTCTAGGGAAGCTCAACCGAATTGTGAGTGTGTGAAATTAATTTTTGTAAATAGATATTTATATAATTAGTTTGGTGTGGTTTTTCAAATTATTTTTACTTGAAAACCAAAACAAATTATGTCAATATTCAGAATTAAAAAATAAAATAAAATCAAGTAAAAAAATATTTAATTTGATTAGATTAAACCTTTTATTTAGTTCGATTTTCGATATTTAATAAACATCTCTTACTACAAGTATATTTTTTTGTAAATTTTTCATTCAAAATTTATCTTTTTGAGGTACTCTAGGAGTTTGATTATTTTTTTGAGATATAAAAATAAAAAAATTCAAATATATTTTTCAGGGCTACAAGGAAAAATTATGTTTTAGTTGATTTAGTTAAGAGGTCGAGAATCTTTTTAATTGATTTAGTTGAGGGAGAAATGATTAATGGAAAGGGAAGAGCTAATTAAGTTGCTAATTACTAAAATGCACAAAGAAATTAAAAAAAAAAAAAAAAACAGTGAAAATGATAGGAACATGGAATTTGAGAAAATGAAGGTGAGAGAGGATTGGGATGAAAATGAAACCTAATAAACATTTGTTAAAAGTCAAGAAGCGTCACACAACATTTGTTGAAAAAGGTTATGGAGTTACGATTATTTATTTTTTACAATTATATTTATGTATGTTATATTGAAATTTTACATACGATATTAGGTTAAATTTTTTTGTTTTAAATTTAAAACTTATGTTATTTTTTCGATTTCATTTGCTTTTAGTAGTATTGACTTATTGCAAGTCGTTTATTTTTTAGTTAGATTTGATAGATTATCTTTTTTGTCAAATATTTTAAATTATTTTATGATATTATATTTATAATATTAACATACTGGTCAAATATGCATTCCATAATGTTCATAAAAATTTTGTACTTTTAGTTTTTATGATTAATTTAATTAAAATACACTAATTTGAAAAAATAAATCAATTATTTTTTATAATAATAATTAAAAATATGTATTTACTAATTAATATATTTTTTAAAAACAATATATATCTTAATTATTAATATCATTTATAAATACTCTTATTTGTTTAATAAAAAAAAATTGCTACAACTTTTATGATTGCACTTATACAAATACAACTAAAGAGTACATTTATATTTAGTTTGTCACTATAATTACGAAAACTGTGTAATTTGAATTAGCAGAAACGAGCCGGACTATATACCTAGTGTCCTAGACATTACTGACATGACAGTTGGTGTCTTTTCAATAATTAAATAGCTTCTGGTCATCTCAACAGAATTGGTCTCGTTTAGTATTTAATTGAACCTAAGTGTTGCAATTCAAAAGGATAATATTACTGAAATGGCTGCGTCCAAAAATCAAAAGTATTTGAAATATGTTGTTAATGATAAAGAGGATTCTGATGAAGAATATATGCCTTCAAGTGAGAGTGATGATTGCGAAACCAACTTACTAAAGATGGAAAAGAATTTAGAAGTAGACGGATTTCAGAGAGTATGGAGCGAAAAAGATGAAATAAGTATTTTGGAAGCCCATCTCAATTATTCATTAGATTATGATGTATTACTTAGTTTTATGAAGGATAAATTGGAAGTAGAAACGACCAAAACTCAATTACAAGCTAAATTGACAAGGTTGAAAAAGAAGTATAAGAAAAACCTTAAGAAAAGGAGTTTTTCAAAACCCCATGAGGAGAAGTTATTTAAACTATCAAAGAGAATTTGGGGATCACAAGTGAAGTGTAAGAGTATTATTGATGGTCATTTCGTTTTGGGTGGAGGTAGTGCTGCTGATTTGGAGGATTGGTTTAGAAGAAATCCAGGTCAATTAATTAAGGAAAAAGATAGGGAAGAAATGTTGAAGAAATCAAAATCTGTAAAGATTGGTAAGGCTCAACAGTATTTGTCAGAAATACAAGTGATGGAGGAACAAACTAACTTGGCTATCGATGCTCTCCAATCCATTCTCACATGAGACAATTAGTATATCTTGTCCCTTTTTAATATCATCAGTTTTTTTATTTGCACTAGTTACGTAAGTAGAATATTTATCCAACTTGTCCTTAAATGTTAATTGCTGAATGATTTGCCAAATTATTATGTAATACTCCCTCCGTCCTTTTTTAGTTGTCCACTTTAGAAATGACACACAGATTAAGGTAACAATGATTAGCACAGTGAAGTTACAATTTTACCCTTATGACAATTTTTCACTTTAAAATTACAACCATTTATTTGAATTAAAGTGAAATAAATTGGAGGGAAACAACATACACTTTTACAATTTTCAAGAAGTGTAAATAAGGGTATAATAGAAAAAAATTTGTTGTCCTTTCTTGATTTGTCAAAATGGACAACTAAATAGGAACAACTAAAAAAGGAAATATGGACAAGTAAATAGGGACGGAGGGAGTAGTATTTCTTCATCAATCTAACATTTGTTACTTGATGTACTGCTTAATTCCTTTGTGGAGAATGAAATAAACTATATCATTCACTGTTTCATTCCTTTTTAGAGGGTGAGGTAAACATATCACATACATAGGAATTGACAAGGAAATTAGCAATTAGAGTACAAACAGCTGCAATCACCCAGTCTACCTCAGGACAGAAGAAAACCCTCAGGAAAGGCAATGTGATAATTACCGGAGCCTCCACTGGTTTAGGACTAGCTACAGCAAAGGCTATAGGCGAATCACGAGACTGCCACGTTATAATGGCCTGTAGAGACTTCCTCAAGGCTGAAAAAGCAGCAAAATCACTTGGCATTCCAAAGGAAAACTACACTGTCATGCAACTGGATCTCGCCTCCCGCCAATTTGTACATAATTTCCGGGAGAAAGTATTGAATTGCAAAGTAAAAGAAATTTGAGAGAAAATACTTAAGATAATCGTCCATGTTTGGAAATTTATCTCTTTTAGGACCACAATATATCGAGTTATTTCTATTTTCCTCAAAATATAAACCTGACTCCTAATGAAATGTCATGTCATGTTATTATTATTTTAACAATAGAATAAAAATATTTGCCTTACTCTTGAATTTTATAAAAAGTAATAAAGTTTAAAATTTAAAATTATCTAATATTTATTATTTATATGTAAATATTTTAAAAAGTTATTATCTTATTTAGTTGAGTACATTAATTTAATATTGTTAGTACAATTTTTTTTGTTCTGATATAAAAAAATTATATATATATATATATATATCTTTTTTGATATCATTCATATTTATCTTTTTCTCTCCTTTATTTTTGATATTTTTTTTAATTTCCCCCTACTTTCTTAATTAAAGTAAAATAATTGAATGTAATTGTAACGACCTGTTTCAGTCATTATAGAAAAGTCATCGGGGAAAAATATTGGGTTGGAATTTTTTTTTTCCTAGTAACTTGAACCTAATTCAGATTTGGACGAAATCGGAGTCAGTAAGGTCTAAGAAAATCTGGTAACAATTGGGAGATCTAATTATGAATTTGATCACATGTGTAGATAACTAAGACGTTAAAGAACCCGTACGACTTTACAAAATTGTATTTGGATGAGTAAGACTCCCGAAACTTATCTTAGCGTGAACGAATATTTTCTGAGTGTCATGAGATGAAGGTGTGTTGTGAAATGAGGGTTTGGAATTCTTAAATTTGCTCACTGTTTTTGTGCAAGCCGCTAAGGCGGGATTTTCCCGCCAGGGAGGGGCCGATGTAGCGGGGTGAGGATCGTTGTGGCGGAACAAACGTGACTTAAGTCGGAAATAAATCCCAAAAATATTTTATTTTGCAAGTTTCAACTTTGAGAGCTAAGGAACGACCCCAGGTGTTTTCTTGACAGATTTCCACCATTTTTGAGACTAAATGTAAGGTTTTTCACTCCCCGAATTCACTTTTCAATCCGTAGAACTTTTTTCTTGGATAATTATTGTTAGGGGAGGGTTTTGATCTGTGATTTATGGTGGAAGAAACCCTAACCTGGGTATGGGGATCAAGGGTTTGGCCTATGGTTGATGTTATTGATTTTAATCAGAGTAATTAGGCCTTTGATTATTGATCCTTGCGTATATAAATTGTTTGTAGACCTAACAAGCGGAAAGAATCCGAAAAAGCAAGATTCAAGTATCTTAGGGGATTCAAGTTTGAATTCAAGGTAGGTGATGATTGTGATTTCATATTTATATGATATATATTTGTAATTGTTATTTTGTATTGCATGTATGTATGCGAATGTTGCATTATTGATCACACCATATGTAAACGAGTATGAACAAATAACTATAATCCATGAATCACTTTCATTGTATGATTATGAGAATGTACATTGTGATTGTGGTATGTTGAGTGGATCAGGTGTTACGTTCCTACAACTAACTTGGATCGGGTGCCACGTTCCGGTGCATATATGGGATCGGGTGTCACGTCTGGCACACTAACTTGGATCGAGTACCACATACCAGTACACTAGCAGTTTGAGTATGGGTTCCATGAAAGGACCATTGAATTGGGTTCCGTGAGAGGACCATTGAATTGTGTTGTGTGTCTACTTATGATGATTACGTTCATATCTAATGATGATTGATATTGAAAGACTTTATGTTGCTCTAAAATGATAACCAACGTGTATTATTGAGAATGTGAAATGCTACATTGATCCTAAGAAGATGACTAATATTGTATATGTTCGGTATATGCCTGTTTTATAATGTTGTGGTTATTTGCATGTGTTTCACTCATTGGGATAACTGCGTGATCTTACCAGTACATTGTGATTGTGTATTGATACTGCACTTGCTTGTTCTTTGTTGAGTACATGTCATCTTCAGGCGGCTATTGATAGACCTCAACTATGTGACTATTGAGCGTGACTGGATTCAAGGGTGAGCCAGTTCTTTTAGGCTGCCATGGATCTCCCTTGTTAAAGTCCAATCTTTTCGGACTCAAACTAATTTTTTAAGGTGTTGTTTAGTTTCGGGGTTGTACCCCTTGTTCTTAGACTAGTCATTAGTAAAGTTTTGGTACAATGACTTTCAGGTTCTAGGGATGGTTCTTCTGCATTAGTTTGGTTTGTTATTTGCTTAAACCTTTGGAGTTTATGGGAACTCCATATTTGTTTTGGTCATTTAAACCTGCTTCGTATCTTTAAATGCCTAGTTTTGGTTAAGTTGCTTAGTCGGGTTGTAGTAATAGTTCTTCCACCAGAGGATTAGTGTGGGTGCCAATCACGACAGTCTGGATTGTGACAGTAATTAAGAAAGGAGAATGAATGATTGGAATTTGGAGTGACTTCTTAATTCTTCATTAATAAATATAATAATTAAAATAATAACTTATACACAATAAATTAGTATGATTGTTAAAAAAAATTCTAATTTCATTAATTTTTTTATTCAAATTTTTGACATTTTTCTTCATTTTTTTTATTTGTATAATTTATTAGAAAATCTAAAACTATTTCTTGATATTCATTTAAACAACAAAGGTTGATATAAATTTTCATGAAATAGTTCCACGTAACTATAGATAATAAGCACTATTTCCTCTCTTCTTTATTTTGTTTTTATTTCTTTATTTGCTTTTTATCTTTATAAATATGATCATTCTATTATTTCATATTTGAAGTAGTAATATATATATATATATATATATAGATATATATATATATCTCATGTGGTATTATATTTATGTTTTAATCTTGAAGAATAAAATTCTTCAATGAAGACCGGCTTGTGAAATGAATACCGATAACGATAAGGGTTCGAAGAATTATGAATCGATGAATCGATTTATTGAATTCATATTTATTTCTATAATGAAAGTTGTAAAAATGATGCTTGTATTGTATTGTTGTCTCCTTTATTTATTATATATTTTCTCGATATCTTTTTAGCTTGATTTTTACATTATTCATGTAAATTGTTGTTATTAAGAGCATGTATAAGGTAGTTAAATTTATGCTCAAGTTATTTGATATTTTTTTCGTCAAAAAATTATTTGTTCCCTTTTTCTTATTATAAAATGACATATATAACTTCTAATACATTAAGTTTTTCTAATTTAATATATTTATAAATAATAACTACTCATAACTCATACCCTTTAATTTTAGTCTTGATGATTTCATAACTTACGAGTATAGTTTAAATTACTTTTCATTTTTGATATAATTATTTTTTTATTTGACATGATGGGGATATACATATCATAAATACCATACATAAAACAGTATCATATTAACAATTATTTATATTTTTTGTGTTTTATATTATTATTATTATAATTAAATAATTTATTTTCAATTGATGAATTGATTTATTGAATTCGTATTTATTTGATAATGAAAATTGTAAAAGTGATGCTTGTATTGTATTACTTTCTCCTTTATTTATTTACTAGGGAACATGTTCGCGCTTCACGCAAGGATTAATAGATATATGTTAGGATTTTTTTTCTTTTGGATTAATTATATGATAATATTATTTGAGCAAATCATTATCTTTCATTTGAAATGATGATACTTGATGAAACTTATCAACTTTAGTATCTATTTAACTAGATATGGACCCCGTGCCAGCACGGGGCCCAATATATGTTACTGTTTTTGTTTTAATTTATGTGGTACATATGAAATTTGAAGTTAATCAATTTTTTAGTATGTTTTTATATATTTTAAGTTACTAATTATTTGTATTTAGAGTATGTTTTACGTAAATATATTAGAAATCACAATAATTAACAAGTTAATATAAAAAAAAACTTATAAAAAATTCATTGACTTTTGAAATTTCATTTGTATTACATAAATCAGGACCGAGTAATATATATGAAAATTACATAAAACGTACTATAACTCACAATAATTAGCAACTTAAAATATCTATATATCTATATTTCTCCCAATTTATGCGGTATAGATGAAATTTTGAAAGTTAACAAAAACTTTTTATATGTTTTGAAAGCTATTAATTATTATGATTTATAATAC